CGCCGGTCAGCGGGAGGCAGGAGGACAGGACACAGAAAGCGGGGGGAAGCAGGGGGAGGGAGGACGTCAGAAATGGGACCCCGCCAGCTCTGCTGGTGCCCCTCACTCCCGACCTGCAGCCCCTTCCTATTCCCGTGCTGCCCACGCCCCAGACCTGCCAGGATTGGGCCTGTCCAGGAGCTGGCCCAGGTGTGGGCGTGGGAGGTGCCTGGGAGATGCCCCATGTCCAGTCTGTGCCGGGGGTGAACAGGGCTGGGCTGGGGCGAGGGTGCCTGGCTGGTGAATCCCGGGCTGGGGGAAGCACAGGGATGGGTGGGGGAGGGGGATGTTGGGTAAGAAAGAAACCCACAGAGCAAGGGAGTCCTGCCCCACTCCAGTACTCTCTGTACCCCACCCCCTTCCCCACAGCCCCCATGGCAAACACGCCCAGACTCCTTGCTACCTCTGCCCCGCAGGCCCCTGCCCCCAGCGGGGGAGGGGGGTCAGGAATGTGATGGCAAAGGGGACAGGTTGGGGGAGAGATAGCTCAGTGGTTTGAGCATTGGCCTGTTAAACCCAGGGTTGTGAGTTCAATCCTTGAGTCACCTACTACAGGACAGGCCTAACGAAGAAAACAACAGAACGCCACTAGCCGTCACCTTCAGCCCCCAACTAAAACCCCTCCAACGCATTATTAAGGATCTACAACCTATCCTGAAGGATGACCCAACACTCTCACAAATCTTGGGAGACAGGCCAGTCCTTGCCTACAGACAGCCCCCCAACCTGAAGCAAATACTCACCAACAACCACATACCACACAACAGAACCACTAACCCAGGAACCTATCCTTGCAACACAGCCCGTTGCCAACTGTGCCCACATATCTATTCAGGGGACACCATCACAGGGCCTAATAACATCAGCCACACTATCAGAGGCTCGTTCACCTGCACATCCACCAATGTGATCTATGCCATCATGTGCCAGCAATGCCCCTCTGCCATGTACATTGGTCAAACTGGACAGTCTCTACGTAAAAGAATAAATGGACACAAATCAGATGTCAAGAATTATAACATTCATAAACCAGTCGGAGAACACTTCAATCTCTCTGGTCACGCGATTACAGACATGAAAGTTGCGATATTACAACAGAAAAACTTCAAAACCAGACTCCAGCGAGAGACTGCTGAATTGGAATTCATTTGCAAATTGGATACAATTAATTTAGGCTTGAATAGAGACTGGGAGTGCCTAAATCATTATGCAAGGTAATCTATTTCCCCTTGTTTTTTCCTACCCGCCCCCCCCCAGACGTTCTTGTTAAACCCTGGATTTGTGCTGGAAATGGCCCACCTTGATTATCATACACATTGCAAGGAGAGTGATCACTTTAGATAAGCTATTACCAGCAGGAGAGTGGGGTGGGGGGGAGAGAAAACCTTTTGTAGTGGTAAACACCCATTTTTTCATGGTTTGTGTGTATAAAAAGGTCTTCTGCACTTTCCACAGTATGCATCCGATGAAGTGAGCTGTAGCTCACGAAAGCTCATGCTCAAATAAATTGGTTAGTCTCTAAGGTGCCACAAGTACTCCTTTTCTTTTTGCAATCCTTGAGGGGGCCATGTAGGGATCTGGGTCAAAAATTGGGGATTGGTCCTGCTTTGAGCAGGGGGTTGGACTAGATGATCTCCTAAGGTCCCTTCCAAACCTGATATTCTATTCTATTCCCTCCAGCCACCCCTGGATTCAGGGCTCCGCCCCCCTTCCCCCCCCAAATCTGGGGCTGTTGCTCAGTGGGTTTCTTACCCAACTTGCTGCCCCTCCCCCACTGGCTCTTGGGAAACTTCCCCCAGTGGCCAGGGGACCCTGCCCTGGGAGCTGTGGGGTGGGGAAGGAGCTGGGGCCTTGTGACACCTCCAGGAGCCAGGGTCCCACAGACACAGTGCTGTGGGGACCCAGCCCCAAATACTGCCCCACACCCGGGGGCCTGGGTTCCATCCCCGGCTCAGGGAGCGGGGTCATAGAATCATAGAACTGGAAGGGACCTCAAGAGGTCTCTAGTCCAGTCCCATGCACTTGTGGCAGGACTAAGTATTATCTAGACCATTCCTGGACAGGTGTTTGTCTAACCTGCTCTTAAAAATCCCCAACGATGGAGATCCCACAACCGCCCTGGGCAATTTATTCCAGTGCTTAACCACCCTGACAGGTAGGAAGTTTTTCCTCATATCCAACCTAAATCGCCCTGGCTGCAATTTAAGCCCATTGCTTCTTGGCCTGTCCTCTGAGGTTAAAAAAGAACAATTCCTCTCCCTCCTCCTTGTAACAACCTTTTATGTACTTGAAAACTGTTACGATGTCCCCTCTCGGTCTTCTCTTCTCCAGACCAAACAAACCCAGTGTTTTCAATCTTCCCTCATAGGTCACATTTTCTAAACCTCTAATAATTCGTGTTGCTCTTCTCTGGACTTTCTCCAATTTGTCCACATCCTTCCTGAAATGTGGTGCCCAGACCTGGACACAATACTCCAGTTGAGGCCTAATCAGCATGGAGTAGAGCGGAAGAATTACTGCTCGTGTCTTGCTTACAACACTCCTGCTAACACATCCCAGAATGATGTCTGCTTTTTTTGCAACAGTGTTACACTGTTGACTCATATTTAGCTTGTGATCCACTATGACCCCCAGCTCCCTTTCCGCAGTACTCCTTCCTAGGCAGTCATTTCCCATTTAGTGTGTGTGCAACTGGTTGTTCCTTCCTAAGTGGAGTACTTTGCATTTGTTCTTACTGAATTTCATCCTATTTACTTCAGACCATTTCTCTGGTTTGTCCAGATCATTTTGAATTTTAATCCTATCCTCCAAAGCACTTGCAACCCCTCCCAGCTTGGTATCGTCCGCAAACTTTATAAATGTACTCGCTATGCAATTATCTAAATAATGTATGATGACAGTGAACAGAACCAGACCCAGAACTGATCCCTGCAGGACCCCACTTGATATGCCCTTCCAGCATGATTGTGAACCACTGATAACTACTCCCTGGGAACTATTTTCCAACCAGTTTTGCACCCACCTTATAGTAGCTCCATCTAGGTTGTATTTTCCTAGTTTCTTTATGAGAAGGTCATGCGAGACAGTATCAAAAGCCTTACTAAAGTCAAGATAGACCACGTCTCCTGCTTCCCTCCTATCCACAAGGCTTGTTACCCTGTCAAAGAAAGCTCTCGGGTTGGTTTGAAACGATTTGTTCTTGACAACTCCATGCTGACTGTTACTTATCAACTTATTATTTTCTAGATGTTTGCAAACTGATTGCTTAATTATTTGCTCCATTATCTTTTCCGGGTACAGAAGTTAAGCTGACTGGTCTGTAATTCCCCAGGTTGTCCTTATTTCCTTTTTTTAGATGGGCACTAGATTTGCCCCTTTCCAGTCGTCTGGAATGTCTCCCGTCTTCCATGACTTCTCAAAGGTAATCGCTGATGGCTCAGGTATCTCCTCAGTCAGCTCCTTGAGTATTCTAGGATGCATTTCATCAGGCCCTGGTGACTTGAAGACAACTAGTCCAGTGGGTTAGAGCTGGGGAGGGTTGGGAGCCAGGACTCCTGGGGTCTCGCTCTGCGCCCCCGTTCCTTGCAGCCCAGCGCCCCCTAGTGTCACACTGGGGCATTGGAGTCAGCACTGACCGATGTTTTTGTGGGAAGGGACCTGGCATCCTGGATTCCCAGCCCCGTTCCCCAACACCCTTAGTTCCTCGGTGCGGGCTTGTCTCTGTCCTGTGTGAAGCACCTGGCATGGAGTATTAACCTGGGAATGTTGCATGGAAGTTTTCCTAGTTTACTGTCTGCATTGATACTAGATGGGGTGGGAAATCAGGGGGTGACTTCACTGAGGGACGATACCTGATGGCCAGCACATAACCTGAGCTAGGAGGGGGCTGGGGCCAGGTGGCACCTTCTGCTGGGGAAACTGGACAAAGGCTGGAGGAGGAGCTGGGGGCAGGCGGGGTGAGACAGCTGGAGGGAGTTTCAGTTTGGAACTGGCTGGGGAGACAGGGGGAGGCCCAGGACCTGAGTCTGGGCTCCCTGCCCCCCAAGACGGACCCGGCTGAGGGGTCCTGTTCTCTGCACCTACAAGCTCTGTTTTTGGCCGTGTTGCTGTCGTCTAATAAACCTTCTGTTTCCCCGGCTGGCTGAGAGTCCCGGTGAATCGCAGGCCGTGGGGGGTGCAGGGCCCTGACTCCCCCCCACCCCGTGACACCTGGCAGAATGGGGCCCTGGGTGAGCATGAGAACAATAAGAAAAGGAGTACTTGTGGCACCTTAGAGACTAACCAATTTATTTGAGCATAAGCTTTCGTGAGCTACAGCACACTTCATCAGATGTGTAGCTCACGAAAGCTCATGCTCAAATAAATTGGTTAGTCTCTAAGGTGCCACAAGTACTCCTTTTCTTTTTGCGAATACAGACTAACATGGCTGTTCCTCTGAAACATGAGAACAATGAGGACAGCGGGCCCGGGGGAGGCACCCACCCTAGACGGGCTGATCTGTCCGGGGCTGGGGTCCTGGTTGGGGCACATTAACCCTGTGATGCGCAGGGGCCGTGGGTCTGAGCCGGGTGGTGCGGGGGGGGGGGCGTAACTGAGGCTCCTGTTTTCAGCAGCGGTCAATTCCCCCTCCAGTGTGACCCCCACACACACCTATCAGGACCAGCTCCATCTCTGGGGACATGAGCAGTTGTCCTGGAGAGCTCATATTGGGTTCGCCTCCCGCTGTGGGGACTAGATTTACCACCCCCTCCATGTGAGGTGGGGGCAGGTGAGTCACATCCCCTGCCCCCCCCCCCCCCGGCAGTGGAGGCAGGCAGGGCTGTCAGGAAAGGTGGGGCACGGTGCGAAAGGGGCTGTACCCCCTGCCCCATACCTGGGCTGGGAGGGGCAAGGGAGGTGCTTCGTGCCGGCTCCGCTCCCTCCCCCCACTTCCCCTGTCTCTGCCCTTTGCCCCCAGCTGGGAACCAGGCGTCTCTGCTGTCCCGGCGGGTCCCGCAGCAGCGAAGGGCGATGGGGCGAATCCCCCACAGACCGGGCGGCCCTTGGACAGGGATTTTCCTGGCAGGTCAGAGGGATGGGGCGGGGCAGGGAGAGGGGAGAATGTGGGACCCAGGTGTCCGGGACACAAAGGCCTCCAATAGGCACCATTGCAAATGAAAGAAGAGGGGCTGCGGGTCAGGAGTGAGGGGCACCAGCAGAACTGGGGGGAGCTGGGCTAGCAGGGGTCTGTGGGTCAGGATTGAGGGGCACGGGCAGAGCTTGGGTGGGGGATCCCCAGGGCTGGGCTGGTAGGAGCAGATTCCGATGCTTCCTTCCCCAGGCTGGTTCCTTCCCTGGGCTCCCCCAAGGCTGTGCCCCACAGCCCTGGGGTGGGACCTGTCAGATGCCACATTGTTCCCCACAGATCCTGCTTTACATGGTGGGATTAGCAGGGATCAGTTGTTTGTGTCTCTCTGTCCCAGAGCATTTGCGGGGGACACATCCAGCCCCCCCTCCACAAACTCCCTTCCCCCAGATCCAGCCCCACGCAGAGACTCAGGTGGGTCCCATTGCAGCAAAGGGTGATGGGGCAAATCCATGACAGTCCAGGCAGCTCTGGGAGGCGCACGGGACGGGGGCGGAGACCGTGGGACCCAGGTGTTTGGGACACACATGGCTGTAACAGGGGACAGTGCAAATCAAAGCAAAGGGGCTGCAGGTTGGGAGTGAGGGGCACCAGTTGGTACCTGTCTCTCTGGTCTCCCACCCACAGCCTCCATCCTGGGCTCCTGCCTCCAGCCGGCGCCGGCCCAGACCCCGACCCCAGTGACCATCGTCCTCACCCCGCCGAGCCCCGCGGTGGGAGGGGGCGTCAGCCTGGCCCCCCCGAATCCTCCACAGGACTTCACGTCCTGCAGCTGGTACCGATCAGCGACTGTTGATGGAAACAGCCAGATCCTCACCTACAACCCAGGACCACCCCCCGTCCAGACCAACGGCTTGGCCCACACGGGGCGGGAGACAGCGGGGCCGGGCTGCGCCCTGCACATCGCGGGGTTAACGCTCAACGACACCGGGAGCTACACGGTGCAGATTCAGAGCCCGACTAGCCCTGCCGTCACCACCACGGTGCATCTGCCTGTCTCTGGTAAGTGTCACCCCCGAGAGCTGCTCCTTCCCCATCCCCACCCCAGCGATGGGGCTCTGGGTGTCTCCCCCTTGGGAAGAACCCAGCTAGGTCACGGGGGGGAACCTGCTCCCAAACTCAGACACCGTGGAGCAACCTAGGTACCCCAACACGTGAGAGATGGTGACCCCCCAAACTTTGGGGCTCTGGACCCCCAGGCCCCACCTTGCCCCTCCCTGAACTGGAAGCCAAAACCTGCCCCAACCTACATGGACCTGAACATGGACGGGGAGTGACCCTGGCCCCCCAGGCACTGTTGGGATTGATTATCTGCATCGCATGGGCCCCCAGGACCCCCCTGTGCCAGGTTCACAGACCTTCCCACGCAGAGCTCACATGCCCCACCCCCCAGAGCCTGGATCGAACCCAGGAGTCCTGGCTCAGAGCCCACACTCCTCTAACCCACCAGACCCCCCTCCCAGAGCTGAGATAGAACCCAGGAGTCCCGGCTCCCAGAATTCCACTCTTTCTCAAGTAGCCCTACGCTAAAGATGATGGCTGGATAACAGCTCACTACTGCTACCAGGCAGCTGGGTCGGAATCCCCACGGGGCTGTGGGTCAGGACTCCCACGGTGCTGTTCACCCGAGTGACGCTCTCTCTGTTCCCAGAAATGCTGCCCAAGCTCACGGTGACGCCAAACCAAGCCCAGGTGCTGGAGAACGGGACCTTCACCCTCACGTGTAACAGCTCCCCCCACGCCGACACCCTGCTCTGGCTCCGGGACGGGGGCGTCCCTCGCGCCCAGTGACCGGCTGGGGCTGTCCCCTGACAATCGGACCCTCACGGTGCTGGGTGTCACCCGGGCCGACGCCGGCGCCTACCAGTGCGAGGTCAGGAACCCCGTCAGCACCGAACGCAGCGAGCCCAGCACCGTGACGGTGGCCTGTGAGTAACTGCAGCCCCGTCTCCCGGCCGCGCTGCCCCCGGCCCTGCCGGCGTCACCCAGCCGCGGAGATGCAGCTCCCCCAGCATGGAGCACAGGGGAAGTTTATGGAGGGCCCCTTCCGGGCCACTGAGATGCAGCTGCCTCTGGGGTAGATCACGCGGGCTGTTTCTACAGGCTTCTCTGGCCTGGTGCTGAGATGCGGCCATTTCTGGGTTGAGGCACAGCGGCTGTTTATACTGGGACCTCCATCCATCCCCTGATCTCCTCTCTCTCTGCAGATGGGCCAGACTCCACCAGGATAGACCCGCCTGGACCCATCAACGTGACCTTCGGGTCCCCTCTGACCCTGACGTGTGTCACCGACTCCGTCCCAGCCCCGAGCTATCGTTGGGGTCTCAACGGCACAGACATGAAGGAGACCGGGACCAACTTGAGCTTTAGCCCCACGACCTGGGCTCAGCACGGCACGTACGAGTGCCGGGTCCACAACCCCGTCACCAGCCGCACTGCCTGGGCGTCTGTCGCTGTGCGGGTCATGGGTGAGTCCCCGGGATGGAAGAACATGCTGCAGACACAGGGATCCCACTGCTGGCACCAACGCCCCAGCGCGGCGCTAGGGGCCCGGGCTGCAAGGGGCGGGGTGAGGGGATTGTGGCTGAACATCTGATCCAACACTGCCCCCCCTCACACACGTTTTTCCTCCTGATGCCCCTCCCCCAGGTGCCCATTCAGGTCTCTCTGCTGGGGCCATTGCCGGGATCGTCATCGGGTCACTGGTGGGGATGGCGCTGGTCGGAGTCGGGGTCTATTTCCTCTGTGAGTAACAGCCCCCACCCCTCGGGAGAGCCAGGACCCCTGGGTTCTCTCCCTGGCACCGGGACGGGAGTGGGGTGTAGTGGGTTAGAGTGGGAGTGAGGAGAGGGGCTGGGAGCCAGGACTCCTGGGTTCTCTCCCTGGCTCTGGGAGGGGAGTGGGGTCTCATGGTTAGAGCAGGGGGGCTGGGAGCCAAGGCCCCAATTCCAGCGACTCTGATGATTCCTCCCAGACTCTTGCTGCCGGAACGAGACCCCCAGGGAGAACAAGGCACCTGTCCCAGTGTACGAGAACCTGCCCCCTACAGCCGGGGCACGGCCAGTGGTGAGTGACAAGGGCCTCGCCCACCCCCTCTATTCCAGGCCCAGCCCCTCCTCTGCGGATGCCCCTCAGTCCAGACTCACAGCCCCCAGCCAGTTTACCCCATCCCCTTTGGGCAGGGGTGGGGGAGGGTTACACAAACCCTGGGTCCCACTGACTCTCCCGGTTTCCCCCCCTCGAGCTCGGCTGGGGGGTCTCTGGGGTCTGGTGCTAATGTCCCTCTTGCCTCTGTCTCCTCCAGGCCCAGCCCGGGAAGCCCCCTGACCCCAGCCCCATATACGAGGTGAGCACCGGCCCCTGAGGGGGTTCGGACCCACTGAGGAGAGGGAGGAGCTGCCCCCCAGAAGCCCTATGGCTGAGAACGGGGCTGGTTATTACATTCCCCCAGGGGGGCGCAGAGTGAACCAGAGGGGGACGAGCCGGGAGCCCCAGAGTTGAGGGGAGGGGTTCTGGGGGGCCCAGCACTGGGGGGGGGGAGGGATGGGCGCCCTGTAGTGGGAGGGGCTGCTGGTCTCGGTGAGGGATGGGCCCCTGGTGTGGGAGGGGCTGCTGGGGCCCTACGGGGGGGAGGGGACTGGGCGCTCCCCTGGGGCGTCTCTGGCTGAATCGTCCCCGTTTCCCCCAGACCCTGGAGCCCGGACAGCAGGACGTGTACGAGGAGCTGAAGAAGTGATGCCCCCTCCTGCCCCCTCCGGCCCCCCGGTGCATGCTGGGAGGGGCCCGGTGCATGCTGGGAAAGGCACGTCCCCGAGCCTGGGTCCCGCCGCCCGGGGACGTCCCACCAATGAAGCATTAAAGGGCAGGAACAGCCACCGCCCGGCCCGGGGGGTCCGTCCGTCCAGGCTGCTTCCCTGGTGCCCATCACCGCAGCGTCTGGGCCCCTCCGAGGCCTCGTCCCCCCACCCCTGTGGGGGGCTGGGCCATTCTCCCCACTGCACAGAGGGGCCCGGGCGGCTCACTGACCAGCCTGGGTCCCACAGGGAGTCTGTGGGGCTGCAGGGACTCAGACCCGGGTCTCCCCAGTGCCCGACTGGTGCTCAAACCAGGACCTGGGGTCCCCGCCCAGGGCTTCCCCCCGCACCCCACACACTTCCTGGTGTTTGTTCTAAGTCTGCTGCCCATTCCTGTCATTTCCCGACCCCTAGTTCTTGTGTTTCGAGGAGTAAATAACAGGAGCCTCCAGCGGCTCCTTCTCCAGCTCTGGGCTCCGGTCAATAAACTCAGCCTGGTTGTCTCTGTAAGGCCTGGCCGTGCTGGGGCCGAGTGGGGCGCTGGCTGCGAGGGGATCACTGCTCAGCTGGGGGGTCTGAGTCCATGGGGGCAGCGGAGCTGGGAACTCAGCCAATGGGCAGCGCCAGGGGCTGGGTGTCAAGGAGTCCCTGGGCGATGCTCTGGAACTCTCCCCATGAAGCCAGTCAGGACTCTGGGGCAGTCGCCTTCCTGTGAGCAGCCTGTCTTCAGGACACGCAGCTCACTCGGCTTCCACCTTCCTGGGTCTGACCTCGGAGCATTCAGCCTCCTCTGCCCCTCCGTGCGCTTCCCACAGCGAGTCCGCTCAGGCGGGGCTCCTGGGGAAGCCAGAGGGTCCGGCACCCCAACTTCGCAGTCAGACGTGACTCTCAGCCAGCCAGTAAAACAGAAGGTTTATTAGACGACAGGAACATGGTCTAAAACAGAGCTTGCAGGTGCAGAGAACGGGACCCCTCAGCTGGGTCCATTTTGGGGGCAGTGAGCAGACAACCACGTCTGCACTTCACTCCATGTCCCACCAGCCCCAAACTGAAAACCCCTCCAGCCCCTCCTCCTCTGGGCTTTGTTCCTTTCCCGCCAGGAGTCACCTGATTCCTTTGTTCTCCAACCCTTCACTCTCACCTTGCAGGGGGAAGGGCCCACCATCAGTTGCCAGAAACAGGGTGTCGGCCATTCTCTGTGTCCAGACTCCTCACACACATCCCTCTAGGGCTCTCAATGATCATACACCCTTACCCCACCCCCTAGATACTTAAGAACTGCCTAGGGGAAACTGAGGCACCCCCACACTATTCAGAGGAAACATTAAGAACAGTCCCACTTCGTCACATCGGGCACCCCAGGGGGATCCTGGGCAATTGGGGGGCGCCAATCACTGACCTGTCGAGGGCTGAGCGGGGAGGGGGGTTGTGCTGTCCATGGAGGGGAGGTCAGGGGTCTGACCCCCAGCAAGGCCAGACAAGGCTCCTCACAGCGGGGCAGGGGGTCACGGGGGGCCTCCCAGCCCTGCACCCCAGGAAGTGTCACACGGCGCAGCCCAGGGGTGCAGAGGGAGCAGAGAGAGAGCAAAGGCCCCACACGCGGCCTCTTCAGGCCTTCAGGCTGGGGGCTCCGGGCAGGACCCCCCATGACCCGGGCGCGGGCCGTCCCTGCAGGCTGGGGGCTCCGGGCGGGGCCCCCCAGGCCCCGGGCGCGGGCCGTCCCTGCAGGCTGGGGGCTCCGGGCGGGGCCCCCCATGACCCAGGCGCGGGCCGTCCCTGCAGGCTGGGGGCTCCGGGCAGGACCCCCCATGACCTGGGTGCGGGCCGTCCCTGCAGGCTGGGGGCTCCGGGCGGGGCCCCCCCATGACCTGGGTGCGGACCGTCCCTGCAGGCTGGGGGCTCCGGGCGGGGCCCCCCCATGATCTGGGTGCGGGCCGTCCCTGCAGGCTGGGGGCTCCGGGCGGGACCCCCCCATGACCTGGGTGCGGGCTGTCCCTGCAGGCTGGGGGCTCCGGGCAGGGCCCCCCCATGACCTGGGTGCGGGCCGTCCCTGCAGGCTGGGGGCTCCGGGCGGGGTCCAGGGGTCCCTGGCGCAATGCCAGCGCCAGCAGGGCCAAGGGGACCCGGGTGCGTCTGGCCCGTTGCTGCCCCCTGCTGGCGAAGCGCGGCCCAGCCCCCCGCAGGGATCAGCCGGACAGGGGCTGCCCCGGCAGGGAGCTCTCTGCCCCACTCCTGGGGAGCCAGGGGTTGGCCCCGCTGGGCCAGGCCTGATTTGCGTCCCTGGGCTGGGACCCTCTGGGCTTTGCCCCTTCGTTGCAGGCGGGGCCGGGCTGGGTGGTGGGGCCCAGGGAGCTGTCAGCTTACGGTGCCCCAGGAGACGGGTTTAGTGGGTGTTTGGATCCCACGGGGAGTGCTGGTTTAGACTTTGTGACCCCAGCTTGTCCGTCAGCCTGGGGGTGTCTATGTCAGCCTGGGGGTGTCTGTGTCCGGCTGGGGGTGTCTGTGTCACGCTGGGGGTGTCTGTGTCCGGCTGGGGGTGTGTCCGCCTGGGGGTGTCTGTGTCACGCTGGGGGTGTCTGTGTGAACCTGGGAGTGTCTGTGTCCGGCTGGGGGTGTGTCTGCCTGGGGTTGTCTGTGTCACATTGGGGGTGTCTGTGTCAGCCTGGGGGTGTCTGTGTCTGGCTGGGGGTGTCTGTGTCACGTTGGGGGTGTCTGTGTCCGGCTGGGGGTGTCTGTGTCTGGCTGGGGGTGTATCCGGCTGGGGGTGTCTGTGTCCGGCTGGGGGTGTCTGGGTCTGGCTGGGGGTGTCTGTGTCACGTTGGGGGTGTCTGTGTCCGGCTGGGGGTGTCTGGGTCCGGCTGGGGGTGTCTGTGTCTGCCTGGGGTTGTCTGGGTCCGGCTGGGGGGGTCTATGTCTGGCTGTTGCCTGTTTCTGCTGCTTCCTGCTCCCCACGGGCCCTGTCTCTCCCCTGGGCTCCTTCTCTCGTCAGTGAGTCAGACTTTCCTCCTGGCCCTGCCCTGTCTGACCGCACGGTGGGGGGAGCCGGGGGGGGGGGTTGTGTGACCCTTTCTGGCACAGGGAGGGTTGGGGCCTGTCACGGAGTCCCTGGGCGATGCTCTGGAACTGCTCCCCATGAAGCCAGTCAGGACTCTGGGGCAGTCGCCTTCCTGTGAGCAGCCTGTCTTCAGGACACACAGCTCACCCGGCTTCCACCTTCCTGGGTCTGACCTCGGAGCATTCAGCATCCTCTGCCCCTCCGTGCGCTTCCCCCCAACGAGTCCGCTCAGGCGGGGCTCCTGGGGAAGCCAGAGGGTCCTGCCCCCCAACTCCGCAATCAGACGTGACTCTCAGCCAGCCAGTAAAACAGAAGGTTTATTAGACGACAGGAACATGGTCTAAAACAGAGCTTGCAGGTGCAGAGAACGGGACCCCTCAGCTGGGTCCATTTTGGGGGGCAGTGAGCCAGACAACCACGTCTGCACTTCACTCCATGTCCTAGCCAGCCCCAAACTGAAAACCCCCTCCAGCCCCTCCTCCTCTGGGCTTTGTTCCTTTCCCGGGCCAGGAGGTCACCTGATTCCTTTGTTCTCCAACCCTTTAGCTCTCACCTTGCAGGGGGGGAAGGGCCCAGGCCATCAGTTGCCAGGAAACAGGGTGTCGGCCATTCTCTGTGT